TTTTTTAATGCATCTTTATTACGTGCACAAACAATACAAACGGATAAAAAGGCAATCATGGGGAAAAAAAACATATGATACATTCTCAAAGCAAGGATTCATTAAAAAAAATACCAAAAATATCTTTCAGCCTTATTCCCACTTAGATTGATTGTCTATTTATTTAAATGTTCAAAGGATCCCAATATTACATATTTTTAGGTAAACACTACCATTATTGAACTCAAAATAATACAAATGTTAATTATGTTAAATATAATGTTTAAGAAAGATTGTTTAATTTGTTTTATTATTTCCTCCAGAACAACGTCATATGAGGATGTCCTGCTTGTGAACTGAAATTGACCTCAGTGACCTCAGAAGCATCACTACCCCCCCCTGCTGACCACAGGGAGACACTGCACACTCCTGATGCTGAATGTCTCTGTACCAACATGCTGTGTATCTGGGTCAAACCTCATCACTCATCTGAAGCATGAGCTGGACCAACGTTCTGTAGAAGGAATGAGTCAAAACTTCTTACTCCTGTCTTTTATGTCCATGAAGAAGAAACACAGGGCTGATGCAGGACTGGACCTTGCTTCTGTACGGACAGGCATCACGGATGACTAAAGCACAGACAATGATCTGTTCCTTGTTGGTTTTAAAAAGAGTACCGTATCTATTATAATGTATTTAATGAGGCACAATTTACTGAGTGGGTACAGGTGCCATGATGAAGACTGAAGTAGTGCATACATGGTGATGTTTTTGTTTTTAGTGTTTTTGTTTTTACAGTATTTAAAAAAATGTTACCTCTTAAAGAGTTTCTTATACATATCACAAAATACAGCCAACATCTTATCTTATTTCCTACACTCAATTACTCCAATACCATAATATCCTTTACATTCTATACAAACTCTTTGCTCTAGAAACTACTTGGCAGAAGATACAATGGGACAAGTCAATTCATACAAAAGATAGAAGGGCCCTTGGAGAGCACTGACCTCTGCCAAGGCTGTTTCCATAAGTGAAAGATAATGCATGTGTATGCCCCAATGAATTGGATCCATTCCACAAATAAAATGGGTTCTTACTTAGCCCATGTGTATCTATTTCACCAAGTTTATTAACATTGGGCCAGTAGTTTTTATTTATTTGTTTTAACCCTGAGACAAACAAATCAAAATGGGTACCAACGTGGCAGGGTTCATTTGGTAAAAACCCCAAATCCAAAGCCAGAACAATGTGGTAAGAAAGGACCACAAGCAGATGTGGGATTGATTTGGTTTCTGTCCCGTGAACTGCACCTTCTGTATAGAGTTTCAAACACTTTGATGTTAAGTTCTACTGCACAAGTGTCACGCTGCCTTCAAATGTGGATACTACTATTGTTGTACAGCTTGTGTGATGTATTGCACTCATCTGAGCATTCATCACTATTATGTTTATAATGAAGCACTCAACATTGCCTGTGGTTATCTACAACAAGGAAAGCTCTTCTTTCCGACCCATGGGCATGTTCCTTTAATGATGCCTTACTTCATTCATTATAAGGTTAAACATATTAGCCCTTACCTTCAATTCTATACTGATTGTAGTTGTATCTGGCGTGTTTTAAGAGAAAAATGACTTGAATCATCCGACAAAGTGGAGCTGGGTTTAGGCTAACAAGAAGGCAACTGAATGATTGCAGAAACATAATTGTACTTCTGTAATAATGCCCTGTCACACTGAATCATCTTTTACTGTCATGTTGTTGTCTTCATAATGATGTCTTGTCGAAAACAGTTTTCCAGTGACTTCATCTCTAGTAGAGAGTAGAGGCTTTTTTTTTATACCTCATAAAGCGCACACAAAGAGTCTCAAACTCTCGAGTCTAGAAGGTTCCTTGTCAGGAAAATAGTTCAGGTATAGTTTCTAAGAGAGATTATCTCTGGTTCAAGCAGTAACAGGTTAAACAACAGTGTTTTTTCAGTAATCTTATTCCGCATAATAAACAAGCAATGTCCTATTTAAGCTGAATATGCTGATGGTTCTAGATGGAGAAGTGTCCTAAATGTATCAATGGCCTTCACTTTAAATGATATGTCAGGCATGCATTATCCAAAATGATGTAGATGTACCTTTCCTACAGTTTGATGTTTTTCTACATAAAATCAGGACTTTAACTGTACAACATTAGAGACTCTAGATGTCTGGAAACTATCTACTGGATCGTCTTTGATATTAAAACATTGTTGTGTTTCACTTCATATCATGATTTTATTTCATCTGCAGGAACTTGACTTAGGTGCAGTTCCTATGGGTTGTCAGAAGAGGGAGTAGCTGGATACGGATCTGTTTAACATTGTACTAAAGTAATACATTTGTATTATCTGCTTTGTTGGCAGGTGAAAAAAGGCATGTGAAGGTTTTGTATTTAAGCTTTATTTTTACTTGGAAGTAACATTGAGATTGAAAACCTATTTTATAAGTGAGACAGGGTTAAATGAAAGTTATGAACATGTTAACAGATAAGATCACAACAACAACAAAAGGTGTTTACGTTTTTTAATAATTTAAAGAATAAACTATGATTCTTCAATCCAGCACACAAACACAGCTGTTTCAGTTTCAGGCTGCAGCACAGAGCTTGCAGAGAGGGGAAAATACACGTTTTTTTCTGAGCAGTCCGATATGATGAGCTCATTTCCTGGTTATTGAACTTCCCAAGTGAGGCTTGGCAGTTGATGTAGCACATCTCTGCCTTCCATCCACTTAACCCTAATATCATCATACATTATGTACTGCTCTAACCACGCCTTGGTGGTTCATGCCAGACTGTGTGAGGGGGAAAGAGATGTAGGATTCATAGTTGAATGCACTTCATTTCATTTTAAGAGGACATGATGTGTACATATGCAGAACTGCTTTAACTACATGCCTTTGATGCACAATAATGCCCTGAGGTAAAGTCTTGCTCCAGAATCTTCTAATGGTCTATCATTTGTAGTTTCAGTTTGCTGATGTCGGGCGTGGTGCTTTGTTGATGCTGGTTTGATCTCAGCTTGAAATCCAGTCAGCTTGCTGTTAGACATTCAGGTTATTTTATATTAACTATGCACCGCAGATCGAAACTGCAAGCCTGCAGCAGCAGCAGTTTCCTTCTTCTGTCCTGTATCTTATAATACTGAGTCACTGGGCTTGCAGAGTGTGCTTAGTGCCACAGGCAGTGTGTGCATCTGTCTACGCGGAGGTGTTTTGGCAGATGTGTGGCCAGACCACCACACCAAAGAAAAACATTTAAAGAACTAAGCCTACAAATAAAAGCACTGTATATTATCAGTCTATCCTAACTTTATTATGGATTTCTACTAGAGCCCAGTTCTGAGCCACACCCATGGTGTAACAACATTATGGAGCAATCTGAAATGGATGGGCAGGATGTGAGGTGAATATTGCAGCTTTTTCAGCTTTTTGATATGATGATTGGTGCCATTAGTGCCGAGTTCAAAGAAGGAGCCGAAACCTGTTTACTGACATTGTGGTTGTGGTGCACCATTGTTTCAGCTATGCATTGTTTTAAACAATTCAGCTGCAAAACATCTTTAAATATAAAAACAGCTTACTAAATGTAGGTTTTAGTTGAATAAACAGTGAAACTTTGGGAAGAGTTTTGGGTGTCCCTCGTGGATTGGAAAGGTTGCTGCTGATGAAATATCTGCCACGATCCTGTACAGAGCAGGGATGGAGACGTGACTCACTCTTCATTGAGAATGTGTTCACTGACGAATCCTATGTTGATGCTTTCTGGTTAGCCTTCATTCCTTCCTTCTCTCGGAGAGTATTAGATTTCTCTTTTACCAAAAGCTTTTTATTCTAAATATCTCCATTCTTTCTCCCCATCTGAGCTTTGTTGGAGAAAACAACAGTTTATGTCAGATGTCTTTATCCCATTCACTCTTTCTTCTCTCTGTGAGTTCCAATAGTCTTTGTATGTCTTCCTCCTTTTCATTGATTTCTATGGTGGTGCCTGCAGCTGCAGCTCAAAACAGCATTCAGCTTGCAGCTTTTGTGGGCTTGTACCATAGGGAAGTGGACACTGTGTTAAACTACAAAAGCAGAAACTTTTATCAATCTGAAAGAATCAGTTTTATTCAGGCATACTTCCAACTATCTAGATTTAAGTTTCTCCCAAAGGACCCCTAGGTGGCCCCGTACCACACTGTGTTCCCCTATTTTTTCCTCCTTTATTCAAGAAAAAATATATATGTACATCGAACATTATATACACACAAAACATTGACTTCCGGGATACATAAAATGGGTGAAAAATGGAATACAAAAATATAAAGAAAGAGATAGTGATGACCAAAAGGTAACATTTAAAGTACAAATATTTATCAAATACTCATTTGGTTTTGCTTGCCTTCTTATTTTTTACATTACATGTTACTTGTTAGACGCTTTTATCCAAAGCGACTTACATACTCAATACTGTGGGCAATCCCCACAGGAGCAATTTGGGGTGAAGTGTCTTGCCCAGGGACACAACGACATGCTGACTGCAGTGGGGTTTGAACCTGTGACCCCCTGATCCGAACACCTACGGACAACCTATTTTTTGTAATTCTGTGTATGTATTGAGTCAGTAAATGTCTTCTTGTGAATGCGGGAGCCCGACCACACTTTTTCATTATTTTTTTAAAGAAAATATATGTGTACATCAAACATTATTTACACACAAAACATTGACATACATATTTTTTTAATTATAAGGAAAAAAGGAAAGACAGAGATATAAAGAAAATAGTGATAAAAACCAAATGTAACATTTCAAGTAAAATATTTATAAAATGCAGATTTCGTTTTGATTGCTTTCTAATTTGTAATATTTTTAATAAAAGTGAAAATGTGCAAAATAAGGTTTTGACGTCACAACGTTGACGTCATTCCTGTTTTGCATAATCACCAATCTCGCGTTGTTGATTGGACCGCCGGCGGGATTTAATCTGCATCTCCCCGCCCCGAGTCATCCTGCCGCTGCTCAAACGTGGAGGGAAGGACACGGAGAGGGACGCTCGGCTCCTGACTGCGCGGGGTTATTGTTAGTCGCGAAATTTACGGCTCTGTCGACATATTTAGTGTATTTCAACCTCAGAGCTATCCGAAAGGGTGGGACTGTGTGTTTCTTCTTCAACGACAGAGCCGGCGGTTGGAAGGTACGTTGAATTCATCACGTTGTAACGTTTATTCAAGTTACGCAGAAACCCCTTCTCGTTTCTTTGTGCTATTTTAATCCCTAAACTACTTCCAGAATGACTGTTATGTTAAGCGAAACTCGTGCTCTTTTTATGGCATGAATTTTTAATTAACCACACATTATTTGTTTTGAAGCCAAACGCCCTGTTTGTGATGATGGATGTGTAACGTTAGCTTGGCTCGCGTCGGTTAGGCGGTGGTTTCTTGCTCTCAAAACGCTATGTATTGAAGTGTACAGTGGTGACAAGACTCGGCTGGCACGGTTGTTAGTTGTATCGGGTTTAATTTATTGACTGTGCCCCTCAGCAAGCTGCAACCACCGTGCACCGCTATTGTTCTGTGTGGCTAAACGGGGCCTTTGGCTAAACCTGGGAGAATTCAGCGTGTTTGGTCACAGAGACAATTGGTATTATTAAAGCTCCACTTGATGCTTGGAAAAAAACAACAACCAGAAGCTCTCATGACAATGGTTCAAAAAGTGGGGTCCAGGGACCACCTATAGGGCTCCTTGACGGGGAACCAAACAACACGAGGTTTGATAGTGTTGGACACATGGGGGTTTGAAGTATCCCATGTGTCTTGAACTGGTGTTAAAACTTATGTAAATGCACTGAATTGTCAAAAGGTTGTCATGTTGGCATTCAGTTTGTTTGACATCAAGAAGGTTATGTCTTGTGTAAAAATAAATGCTCAAATGTATCAGCCGCATGTCATACACCACTGATTAATTTTTTTATGGATATGAAAATGTAATATTGAAGTAGATTGCACCCAGGGCTTCCTGTCTGCACACCTAAATCCCATTTTGTGTTCCAAGATAAGCATCATCTCTGTTTTCATTTGCATCCCTGCACGTGGAGTGATGGCTTTCACGATTTGGCAGCATAACACGAGAAAAGGAAGGAAATCCAGAGGCAGGGTCTGCATTAAATAAGCAGTGTGTTGTGGGCAGAGTTTGGGTAGGGGAGCAGTGACTCTCTGGCAGTTTGACATGCAGCCACTTAGGCAGATTGTAGTATCTTGAACACCATCAGGTTACTACTGTCAGGGTGTGTGTTGCTGAGGAGTTTCTCACCTGGCTGGGTGTGAAACCAAGTATGAATAATGGTCTTTCCCTCACACCTTTTTGCACCCACTGGCTCAACTCCAATAGCTTATTTAAGGGTCACTGATGCTGTGTTTGAAGGACTCAATTGTTGTGTTGTTGGTTGTCCCCATTATCCCACACATGTTATTGCCATCAGGTATTTGCACTTAGATTATCATCAGTAACTGGTTCCAGTCAGCCATCATGTGCTTAATCTTTTCACATCTTGAATCATTTTGCCTTTCTAACCTGTGTGTTTTGTTGAGACTGGACAAACTTCCTTACATATTTGGAGCCCTAACAGACAAGATGTGCAAAAATAATAGTTAAACAAAATAAATGTTGTGTTATGGTGTGTATGGGCTATGGATAAACAAGTGTATGTTCCTTTTGTTTGCCCATAAGTAATTTATAGTGCGTGTTGTTCTGCACCGTGACTGTTTTTTAGGTCACATAGGCCCCAGAGAGGTCCAACTTCCTGTTAGATTTGTTTTGGGATTCAGGAGAGGAAGTGCAGTAGAAGGGCTGAACTATTATAACATATCAAGTATATTAGCATCTGTTGTGATTAACAACTTAATCAGCTGTTATCTTCGAGACCCCACACAGAGATTGTCTAGGGGCAGAATTATTGAACAAAAACCGATTTGGCCTGCCCTTCAGGTTTGGTGAAAATACCCAACACACTTGCCAGATCTGGCCTTTGTAGTGGAACACAGCCAGTGTCTGCACACTGCTGTTGTCAACACCCCCGCTTCCTTTTCCTATTCATAAAGGCCAAGGCAACAATAAGAGGGCCTCAAAATAGTTATGTCATTTCACTGTATCCTGTAACCTTGAACCTGTTTCAATGGATCGGATATGGGGGTTAAAAAAGAAACCACAAGCATTATGCAAAGACATGTCTCGCTTCAAAATCCTGGATTGCCTGTACAGGGTTTTATGACCAGTAGTACAAAAGCTTAATGATTTACAACATTTAGCAGGATGTGTGACAAGGAATTAGGTTTCATAGTTAAATAGTGATGAGATTGTATTTGCCCAATCACAAAGGTTTATTATTTGTATGATCTGATTGTGCACTGGGTGGCTTTAGTTCGTTGTATATTGTCTCTTCTGCTTTAGCCAACTTGAAAGTGCCTGCTTTTATGACTGAGGCGGGCCTGTCATTCCCAATGGGGGGCTGCAGTTGTTTATTTCAGGCATGAGAGAAAAGCAAGTGGTTGACTTGGGGACATTTGTTGTAGTGTTTTAAAACGCAACAGATTGGGAATCAAAGCTAACCCCATACATGCTTTATTCTAAACTACATGAGTTCTTCTCAAGCTTGTAAAGCTTGAGAAGACAACAACCTTAGCCTTCTTGCCAACATGTTGATTTGTATCTGAGATGACAGCCCTGTGAACAACAACTAGCCTCGCTGTCTGTAGTGTCAGCTTCACCCTGTTGCAGGTTGTGATATGCTGTTGGATTATTACATCTAGGGGCTGATGATTTGGGCTTTTAACTCAGTTTAGCATGGGTTCATGTGCATCTTTGCAGCTGTGAGATGTTATAGTGGTTATGGATGGAAGCCTCGCAAAACTAATGCTTTTATTATTTTCAGCATAAAATGTGTAACTTGCCAAGATGATAATCAAATGTCTTGTTTAGTCTGACACTTAGCCCAAATCCAAAGGATAATCAATGTAATATAACGTAACATGAGGAATAGCAGTGTATCTTCACATTTAAGAACCTGGAGCCATCCAATGTTTGGTATTTTTTTTTTCTACAAATAATGCCCCATTTAAAAAAAAAAAAAAAAATTAATAATAATAATCTCCAAATCAGAAGTTTTGTGGTGTATGACCAACCACAAAAAGCCCCAGATCATTCCAATGCAATATTATTATAGGACTAAGACAACATGACAATATTCACATTTTGGAAAGCTGGAACCAGAAAAGGTTAGCTATTTAATCTTTACCAAGGGATATTGTGCTTTTTTTTTTAGCCTTGTCTTAGAACTCACCCCAACATGAGGGCAGCTGGTTGGGAAGCACAGCTCTTGTACAGGGAATTTGCATCTGCTTGGAAGTCAGCTGCTTTTACAGCCTGTGTCAGTCCCCGGCCCACACCCAGGGAAATTCAATCCAATTCCTGCCTGCTTTACTGCATCTGTTTAGGATGACATTCTGACTTCAACTGTATTTCATCATGCACCCTTAGTTTGTGTTCCTCTCCTGTGTTGCTTCTGGCTGTTCAGCTGTGGGATGGTGAGACAGGGTGGTGTTTTTACTCTTGTCTCTGTGGTTTGGAGAGGCTGGCACTCTCCTGCCCATTAGGATAAAGCGGTGGACGCTGGCGCTGCAATTTTAGGCTGTCTGTCTGGGGCTGAAGGTAGGCTCAGTGCACTGTAATTATTGAAAGAGTTATTCAGCACTTTCCGAATCTGTTTGATAGCTCACTTTGGTAGCCATGAATGCCATCCCAAAACTTTGTGCTGTGCCAACATAAAGCTTTTCTTTAATCAATGATTCACTGCGTGCATTTGCATTAATGTTCTCTGCTACATTTTGCAGCATTGTTTTAGGTTATATTCGCAGCAAACTGTAGATGATGGGGAAACGTGTGAGTTCCTGTATAAAAGCAGAAGGGGCATACGTAGTAGTAACTTTTCCCCATTTGCTTTGTGTAGCCGCTATCTCCAATGACTCAGAGCAGTATATTTTGATCAAGTTAGTTATTGATCCATGTCTGTCTGAGGTGAATCAGCGTGCACAGCAACTATAAAGGCGTGTTTGTTTATGTTAACGGGCTCGGCATATCCTGTTCTCCTCTTTGCTCTGCCTCTTGATATGCAAGAGAGAGAGACACAATCGTCTGTTTCAGTAATGGGCTTGTGTGTGCGTGTATACTGTGTGTGTGGTTTGGGCAGTTCAGGGGTTTGGCTGTCAGAGGCAGGCGAGGTGTGGGATCACTGTCCATCTGACCTCAGCTCACCCCGCCCGTCAGAGTAACTGATCCGGCCCCCGGGCTCTCGGCATTATATTGACTACCTGCCTGAATGCCTGAATGCCTGCCTGTCTATATACAGTTGGCTGATGCACAAGAGAGGAGCGGCTGGCGGGCTTTGATACGGCAAAACTGATGAGTGCATTGGATTCTATTATACCAGCCATCCTGTACTGCATCTCTCTGTCTAGCTCTTTATTTTTATGCTGATTCAAGATACTGAAAATGTCATACTTTCAAAATGAAATGAGGTGAATAAGAGGCAGTGCTCTCTTTTACTTTAATTAGTTAGTTGACATGGTACCGCAACAGGAAATGGAAAAAGAGAAAGAAATACCAACATGGGACAAAGGTCCTCTTCAAGAACAGCTGGCATGAGTATTGTACTGATATGTCTGGTTTCCATCCATTTTATAGCCATGGCTTCGTGCCTTACCTTTTTTTTATTCTCCATCTATTTCTAGAAATGCTTCTGCAGTCTTTTAACTTGAGCTGCAGTGAGTCAATCAACATACAATAACTGTTTAGTTGAGAAAGTGGCAGAAAATGTGGAAATATTCTCCTTTTTAAAATAAATTATTTAAAGACATCACCGTGGACTTTGAGGAACAATTAACATTTTTTAAAACTATTTTCTTAGATATTATTGACTGAACTGTTTTAGAAAATAATCTTTAGATGCAACTTGCAGTCATACTGTCAACTACTTGTGAATTAAGGTCCTTAAAGGTGGGGTAGGTAAGTTTGAGAAACCGGCTCGAGATACACTTTTTGTTATATTCCATGGAATGCTCTTAACATCCCGATAGCAATGAATATCTTAAGTGCTTTGACAAAAAATCCATAAAACAATGTCATCTGTGGAAGCCGTAGTAC